GTGGGCGTATATTACTTTGTTTAGCAAGCTATCTTTAACATGTTTGAATCTTCTCCTTTAGCTAAAGATTGTGGAAGTCCTCCAACGGGTACCGCATCCACAGGAATTGCATCAAGTGGTACCACATACACACAAGAAGCAGACTATACTTGTAATACAGGATATACTGTAGTAGCTGGCAAGGCCAAGATTGAGTGTCTTGATACAGGGACGTGGGATGTAGATAATATACTTGTTTGTGAACGTAAGTATTTCGATATTTACGTGTTTGCTTTTGTAATGCTTCAAATTATTCCAGCAGGTCTGAAGAACTGACAAGAGAAAAGCGTGTAACTGTTCAAATGGGAGGAATCCAGAAATTAGGGCTACAAAATAGGGGCAATCTGGCCCTATGAGGGGGGTAACTGTCGAGGCTGAATTCCGAACGCAGTAACTCTGGGGAGACGCTAAAGTGGCAAGTCTCTCGTGGAACTTCCCAAATTGATTTCCTGAGAAGTTGCGAAAAAATTGAATTGAACTGGTTGAAGGTTGAATATTTCATAATGGTTGTTACTGTACTGCCAATTGATTTCAAATCAAGGCTGTCAGTGGGCGCATATTACTTTGTTTAGCAAGCTATCTTTAACATGTTCAAATCTTCTCCTTCTTTAGCTAAAGATTGTGGAAGTCCTCCAACGGGTACCGCATCCACAGGAATTGCATCAAGTGGTACCACATACACACAAGAAGCAGACTATACTTGTAATACAGGATATACTGCAGACAGCTGGCAAGGCCAAGATTGCGTGTCTTGATACAGGGACGTGGGATATAGATAATATACTTGTTTGTGAACGTAAGTATTTCGATATTTACTTGTTTGCTTTTGTAATGCTTCAAATTATTCGAGCAGGTCTGAAGAACTGATACGGGAAAAGCGTGTAACTGTTCGAATGGGAGGAATCCAGAAATTAGGGCTACAAAAAAGGGGCAACCTGGCCCCATGGGGGGATAACTGTCGAGGCTGAATTCTCAACGCAGCAACTCTGGGGAGACGCCAAAGTCGCAAGTCTCTCGTGGAACTTCCCAGATTGATTTCCTGAGAAGTTGCGAAAAAATTGAATTGAATTGGTTGAAGGTTGAATATTTCATAATGGTTGTTACTGTACTGCCAATTGATTTGAAATCAAGGCTGTCAGTGGGCGCATATTACTTTGTTTAGCAAGCTATCTTTAACATGTTTGAATCTTCTCCTTTAGCTAAAGATTGTGGAAGTCCTCCAACGGGTACCGCATCCACAGGAATTGCATCAAGTGGTACCACATACACACAAGAAGCAGACTATACTTGTAATACAGGATATACTGTAACAGCTGGCAAGGCCAAGATTGAGTGTCTTGATACAGGGACGTGGGATGTAGATAATATACTTGTTTGTGAACGTAAGTATTTCGATATTTACTTGTTTGCTTTTGTAATGCTTCAAATTATTCGAGCAGGTCTGAAGAACTGATACGGGAAAAGCGTGTAACTGTTCGAATGGGAGGAATCCAGAAATTAGGGCTACAAAAAAGGGGCAACCTGGCCCCATGGGGGGATAACTGTCGAGGCTGAATTCTGAACGCAGTAACTCTGGGGAGACGTCCAAGTCGCAAGTCTCTCGTGGAACTTCCCAAATTGATTTCCTGAGAAGTTGCGAAAAAATTGAATTGAATTGGTTGAAGGTTGAATATTTCATAATGGTTGTTACTGTACTGCCAATTGATTTGAAATCAAGGCTGTCAGTGGGCGTATATTACTTTGTTTAGCAAGCTATCATTAACATGTTTAAATCTTCTCCTTCTTTAGCTAAAGATTGTGGAAGTCCTCCAACGGGTACCGCATCCACAGGAACTGCATCAAGTGGTACCACATACACACAAGAAGCAGACTATACTTGTAATACAGGATATACTGTAACAGCTGGCAAGGCCAAGATTGAGTGTCTTGATACAGGGACGTGGGATGTAGATAATATACTTGTTTGTGAACGTAAGTATTTCGATATTTACTTGTTTGCTTTTGTAATGCTTCAAATTATTCGAGCAGGTCTGAAGAACTGATACGGGAAAAGCGTGTAACTGTTCGAATGGGAGGAATCCAAAAATTAGGGCTACAAAAAAGGGGCAACCTGGCCCCATGGGGGGGATAACTGTCGAGGCTGAATTCTGAACGCAGTAACTCTGGGGAGACGCCAAAGTCGCAAGTCTCTCGTGGAGCGTCTCAAATTGATTTCCTGAAAAGTTTCGAAAAATTGAATTGAATCGGTTGAAGGTTGAATATTTCATAATGGTTGTTACTGTACTGCCAATTGATTTGAAATCAAGGCTGTCAGTGGGCGTATATTACTTTGTTTAGCAAGCTATCTTTAACATGTTTAAATCTTCTCCTTCTTTAGCTATAAATTGTGGTAGTCCTCCAACGGGTACCGCATCCACAGGAACTGCATCAAGTGGTACCACATACACACAAGAAGCAGACTATACTTGTAATACAGGATATACTGTAACAGCTGGCAAGGCCAAGATTGCGTGTCTTGATACAGGGACGTGGGATATAGATAATATACTTGTTTGTGAACGTAAGTATTTCGATATTTACTTGTTTGCTTTTGTAATGCTTCAAATTATTCGAGCAAATCTGAAGAACTGACACGGGGAAAGGCGTTGAACTGTTCGAATGGGAATGAGGGTACAAAAAGGGGACAGACTGACTCCATGTGGTGGTGGGAGGGGGGGGGAATAACTATCGAGGCTGAATTCTAAACGCAGCAACTTTGTAGAGACGCTACAGTCGCAGTCTCTCGTGGAGTGTCCGAAATGGTTTTGCTGAAAAAATTGAATTGAAATGGTTGAAAGTTGAATATTTCATAATGGTTGTTACTGTACTGCCAATTGATTTGAAATCAAGGCTGTCAGTGGGCGTATATTACTTTGTTTAGCAAGCTATCTTTAACATGTTTGAATCTTCTCCTTCTTTAGCTAAAGATTGTGGTAGTCCTCCAACGGGTACCGCATCCACAGGAACTGCATCAAGTGGTACCACATACACACAAGAAGCAGACTATACTTGTAATACAGGATATACTGCAGTAGCTGGCAAGGCCAAGATTGAGTGTCTTGATACAGGAACGTGGGATGTAGATAATATACTTGTTTGTGAACGTAAGTATTTCGATATTTACTTGTTTGCTTTTGTAATGCTTCAAATTATTCGAGCAGGTCTGAAGAACTGATACGGGAAAAGCGTGTAACTGTTCGAATGGGAGGAATCCAGAAATTAGGGCTACAAAAAAGGGGCAACCTGGTCCCATGGGGGGATAACTGTCGAGGCTGAATTCTCACCGCAGCAACTCTGGGGAGACGCCAAAGTCGCAAGTCTCTAGTGGAACTTACCAAATTGATTTCCTGAGAAGTTTCGAAAAACTTGAATTGAATTGGTTTAAGCATGAATATTTCATAATGGTTGTTACTGTACTGCCAATTGATTTGAAATCAAGGCTGTCAGTGGGCGTATATTACTTTGTTTAGCAAGCTATCTTTAACATGTTTGAATCTTCTCCTTCTTTAGCTAAAGATTGTGGAAGTCCTCCAACGGGTACCGCATCCACAGGAATTGCATCAAGTGGTACCACATACACACAAGAAGCAGACTATACTTGTAATACAGGATATACTGTAGTAGCTGGCAAGGCCAAGATTGCGTGTCTTGATACAGGGAAGTGGGATGTAGATAATATACTTGTTTGTGAACGTAAGTATTTCGATATTTACTTATTTGCTTTTGTAATGCTTCAAATTATTCGAGCAGGTCTGAAGAACTGACGAGGGAAAAGCGGTTAACTGTTCGAATGGGAGGAATCCAGAAATTAGGGCTACAAAAAAGGGGCAACCTGGCCCCATGGGGGGGGATAACTGTCGAGGCTGAATTCTGAACGCAGTAACTCTGGGCAGACGCTAAAGTCGCAAGTCTTTCGTGGAGCGTCTCAAATTGATTTCCTGAGAAGTTTCGAAAAATTGAATTGAATTGGTTGAAGGTTGAATATTTCATAATGGTTGTTACTGTACTGCCAGTTGATTTGAAATCAAGGCTGTCAGTGGGCGTATATTACTTTGTTTAGCAAGCTATCTTTAACATGTTTGAATCTTCTCCTTCTTTAGCTAAAGATTGTGGAAGTCCTCCAACGGGTACCGCATCCACAGGAATTGCATCAAGTGGTACCACATACACACAAGAAGCAGACTATACTTGTAATACAGGATATACTGTAACAGCTGGCAAGGCCAAGATTGCGTGTCTTGATACAGGG